AAAAAAAAAAAAAAAAAAAAAAAAAAAAAAAAAACAGAGAGAGAGGGAGGAAAGTACCACAGTAAATACCAACACTAGCTGGACATGACACACATCTGTAATACTAGTACTCCAGAGGCTGAGGCAGGAGGATCAAATTCAAGTCCATCTTGGGCTATATAGCCAGTTTGAGGCCAGCCTGAACAACATAGTGCGACCTTGTCTCAAACAAAACAAAACATTTATTCTAACATTTATTAGCTACAAAGCTAAGTGAGAGGTTGGGTCAATTACATTTCTCAGCTTGTTTCTTTATCTGCAAAATGGGAGTAAGAATACTATCTAGTGCATAGAGCTGTTCAGAAGATCAAAGATGACACTGGACATAGAAAAACATACAACATAATCTCTGTCAAAAAATAATTAAACAGTGCATGCTAGCTGCTGTCTTCCATAACATCATCTTATAAGCATAGCTAGCAATACAAACCATTCTTTCTCACAGTTTGACATCTGGTAAAATTCACAAAGTTGTACCACAATGTAAAACACTTTCAACTCTTAGAAATAAAAATCCAAAAGGTCTACCAATTTAAACTGTTTTTATACCTATCAAATAGCTGAGGAATCAAAAGCTCTTTATATGATTAATTATACCTATCAACCAGTATGAATAAAAAGTTTATACCTAATATGTTATATTAAAAAACAGTACAAAAAAAGTATCAGTACTTTCAAAGATGACTCACTTTTTCTTACTCTCTCAAGTTAGTATTTGTTCAAAACCTAATATTATTAGATCATTTTCATGTTATATTTAAATAAATTAGTTCTCAAATATTTACACAATGTATAGAACCACAGATAACTGAAAAGTAAAAAGTAAATATACATTTGGGTTTTTCACCTTTTCAAATTTTTTACCTGGGATACCAGCATCCCTACAATTTACAAAATCGTAACAGCCTTAGCTGTTCAGTCCTATCATTTTATTTCCTAGTTCATTGGTTAGCTTTTACTTCCCAATTCATTCTGTCAACTACTACTACTTCTCAGACAAATATCAAATCCTTTTTAAACTACTCCATAATGTGATCTCACTATATTTCTAATTCCTATGTTCTCTGACTTGTAGAAAGTAATTAGGCAAGTCTTTTATTCTCTTAAGGACTTTTTTTATTTTTTGGTACCCGAGATCGAACTCGGGTCCTTCAGCTTGAGAGGCAGGCAGAGGAACCACTGAGCTAAATTCCCGACCCTCTTAAGGACCTTTTGCAGTGGAAGAATTAGAAAGAATTATCATTAAGCTTAATTATATAAATAGGATTTCGAAAGCAAAAAAATTTCCCCATTTTACAAGAGAATTAAATTATAAATATCATAGTGTCTCCTAATTACCACATTCAAGTAAAGCATTGAGTACTACCTTCTGCACCCAAGAAATTTGGTGGCTTGCATTGAAGGGGGGGTATAAAAGAAATCCATAAAAAACATGTAATGTGAAAAGATGGCAGTGTAAAAAATAGATGGCAGAATAGGAAAAATTCTAGAAGCAGTCATTCCAGACTTGAATCTAGGCCTTAGCACCTATTCATTATGCTATTGACAAGTTACTTGTTTCTAGATTCTAGATCTGACCTATAAAATACCTACCTTGCAAGTCGGTTGTCAGAATAAATCCAAAGTATTTTATATAGTTCCTGCCTGGAACATCCTAGGGACTCAATAAACGTTGCTACTGTTATTGTTATTATCTTAGAATTGGAAGAGATTATTCAGTCAAATTCTCTCATTTAACAGATGAGGACACTAAAATATCACAAAGCAGAATATGAAATGCTAAATGAGTACAACAAAGATTCATGACAAGTTCATAAGCAACATTGAAACCCAACAATAAAAAAGGCCTAATTTGCCTCTTGTTACTGATTTTGAAACAAGTGGTTCTGAACGTACATACTAAGTACAACATTTATATGACAAGTATAAAAATAGGATAAGCCTATGTCAGAGGGGTTAAAAATCCAGCTCTAGAGACTAACGATTTACTAAGGGGGTGGGATGGGGGGGACGCTAAATCCAACAGGTAAAGCTAAAATAAAAAATATCTGTTTCAGGACAAACTGAAGACAACATTCACTAAACACCCCTTAGCCGTATTTAATTCTGAACTACTATATATCTTACTCTCTTTAAATGCACAATAACGCGTGCAATTTTGTTTAAAACACTGACTTTAAATTAAATGAACCACCTGGTAGCCTTTTAGGACAATAAAGTCACCAATATGCTAATCACCTCCACTAAAATTGTGTTCGGTTTATTACAACAGTATTTCTTTTACAGACATTAAGTCGGCGGCACTAAAAGCATACTTTTGTGAGTTGTATAATCATTTCTACAGTAGAACTATGTTTCTATCCTAATTTCTAAAGCCTCTTCCGCCTTTCCCTGGAAATCTTTACTAACGTTTGATAATCATTTTAATTGCAAGAATTTCTCATTCAGCCACTATAGACTGCTTCAAAATGTTCACATTATTCTTTTAACAGAAACTGTGCTAAATTCCTAGGAAAACTAAGTTCCAAACGGTTAAGACACAGCATCTAATTTCTACTTTACTGAAAACCGGAAATGTAATAGATTCACCAACAACTACTCAACTGGGACAATACTGAAAATAAGTTAATAGAGTAGGGATAATTAGACTTTTTTTTGAAAAATATTACAACTCGAAGGATTTTTTTAATCTTTTGAAGGGAGTTGAAAAACCTAACACTGAGGGGAAAAGGGTCAGAGCCCGTAAGATCGATGTGTTACAGGAAACATGCGCTCTAAGAGAAAGTTAATTTTATTCTCTATCCCGAGTTTCTCTTGAATATTTTGAAGTTTCTTAACGCAGAAGCAACAATCTAACGCAGAAGCAAACAGGCTATAAACAAGCGTTCTTCTTATAGACGGAGAAGAGACTGGCAAGATATGAATTCGACTAAGCAGAACCGGACGGAGGAAGACTAAATCTAGACCTAAACCTGCCGGAGACCCCGGGGCCTATGAAGCGTACAAAAGGGCCCGGGCTCCATCAGGGCCCTTGGCCTCCCGCGGCACCTCCGCCGGGCAGCGTGACTCAGGCAAGTACAGGGCTGGCCGCGGCCTAGCTCGGCTGCCTCCCCGACCTCCCGGGCCTGCCTTCTGGACCTTACCTAAAGGCGCACGGGAGGGAGTAGTCTGGACCCCTGTCTTGCCTCTGCGATGACTTGGTACAGCGGTTACAGCGGCTCAGACTCGGCCCAGCTACTGCTCCGCGAACCGGCGATGAATCAGCCCGATTCCATTCAAAAAGAGTGGCCCCGGCCTCCGCCACGAAGCACTTCCGGGTTCACTGCTCTGCTTCGGCTTCCGTTCCCCCGACGGCCAATTGGAGCCGGTGCGGGCGTCGAGCGGGCGTTCCCTTTGGAGCGCACAGGGCGGGCGGCACTGTCGGCGGCTGCTTACTTCGCGGAGTGAAGGGCGGAAGTTGGTGTCCTGGGTCCTCCTTTTTCTTTGGCCGTGTGCTCGCTTTCCCAGTTTGGGAGATTGACTGGCTCTCATTTGGAAATCGTAGTATCGCCAAACGTAGAACCCCTTTCCTTTTGCTTTTCACTCACCTCCCTCAAAATCCAGAAGTTTCACTTGAACTAGACGTAACTTGGTCAGAGCTCAGAAGCAGGTGTAGAGAAAAGGGCGATGTGATTGAAGAAAACCGGACTCTTTTCCTTAGGCCATTTACCCATTTTGTCTTTATTGCTTTGCAAGGATTGTATTTCAAGGATTGACTACGGTTTTTCCCAAATGTTCAAACCACCTTTAACCTCAGCTTGGTTTACATGGTTTAAAGGATAATTCACTCACGTTTTTCCAGATAAACATTTTACCCATTGTCTGCTCTGCTAGTTTTTCAATCAGTAAAACTGCCCAAGAAATGACAGTTGACAAGCTTATGTTACCGCTGTAGATCTGTGGCACCACCATGTTTTACCAACTAAACGTTCTCAAACGTATTCCAAATAACAAAGATCTTTAGTTTTAAATCAAGCTGGGTGTGTGGTACAGGACTGTAATCTCAGTAGTCTAGGAAGCTGAGGTAGGAGATCAGAAGTTCAAGCCTGCCTGTCTTAAATAAATGAGTAAATGAATGAATGAATAAATTCCACAGTCAAGAAAGATGGAGAACCTTGTAGATGGAGGATGAGGAACAATTCCAAGTAGATTCAAAGCTGTGATGGGAGTTACACAATTACATAGAATACTTTGGGATATTCATATCTCTAAAACCTCATAGATTATTTTACTCATAGATAAGATTAGTTATACAGTATTTGGATACATGTCTTTTTATTTCCTCCCCAAACCTATGCCTGCTCTATTAACTTTTTGGGAAATAACCCCATCCTCCAACCTGAGAGTAGACACTCACCTATTACACTTCCCCTTTGGTTTCCTAATTAATCACTCTAGAAGCCATCAAGTATCTAATCTTCAAAATAGCTGTTTCCAGTCTATTTCCAGTTTCTGCACTTCATCCTTTGGCCTTAACTCATACCTTCTTGTTTTTGTTTTTCTTATAAACCTGCATGAATCTTCTTGTTTTCCCTGTCTCTTAGTCTGACCACCCTCAATCCTTCATGTCATTGGCAAAAATGTGTGATACAAATATAGTCATGCCCCCTCTTAAAATTGCACCAGTGATTCCTCATAACATTCACTATAAAGGTCAAAAACCCCTCAAGGGTGTTTGGACCACCCTTTGCTCCAGCCACACTATTTAGCTGAGGTATGAGATTTCATGATTTTAGAAGGTGGCATGCATGGTTAGGGTGTGCACATGCCTATGACTATATGACTATTTAAGAAAGTCCTAAGAGATCACCTCTAACTGACCTTGAGGCTCTTAAAGTGGGAAGTGCAGGGTAAGGCAGAACTGTAAATTTTAAATTGCCTGCAGAGTGTTGAAGGGATGCCCCCCCACACACATAAGCCCCTCAGCAAAGACTGTAAGATTTATTGATTGAAGATGTTTTGGAAAACTTTGCCCAATCATTAACCAACCACTAAGCTAATTGAGCAAAATCTTCAGTAGTCACACATCATAAAGAATACAGACTTTATTTTGAAATGAGCTAAGAAAAGTCACTAAACCAGCAACTACTGTAACAAACAGAAAACTTTGGAGTAAAATCTGATTTCTAGTTATTACTTATATTATTTAAAATGCCTAGTTTTCAAAATAAAGTATGCTACATGCAAAGAAACAACAGCATGTGGCCAAACTCAAGACAAAAATCACCGATAGAGCTGGGCTTGTTGATGAAGGCCTCTCCAGTACCAGGAAAGCTGAGACAGGAAGATCTGAAGTTTAAGTCCAGCCTGGGAAACTTAATGACACCCTGTCTCAAAATTAAAAAAACAAAAAAACAAAAAAACACTTTTTTTTTGAAGTGTTGTGGATGTAGCTCAGTGCAAACACCTGGATTTCAATCCCTAGCTGCACAAGAAAAAAAATCGAAACTAGCCCTGAGGAAGCCTAAATACTGGATTTACTAGATTAAGACTTTAAATTAAATATTCAAAATATGTTCACAAAGCTAACAGAAATAATGTCTAAGGAACTAGAAGGGACTAGGAATGTAGCTCAGTGGTAGAGTGTTTGTCTCAGGCGCATAAAGGCCTGGGTTCTATCACACCACTGTGAGAAAATATAAAAAAGATGTTTCATCAAATAAATTAAGAGAAATTATTTTTACAAACCTGAACAATGCTGAAGTTGAAATGTTTAATAACTAAAGTAAAAAACTTAGATGCGTTCAATAGTGGACTTGAGCAGGCAGAAAAAGAATCTGAAAATTTCCATACAAGTCAGCTGATACTCATTCAGTTTGCGGAACAGATAGAAAACAAAATGAAGATATACAAACAGGGACTCAGGGAACTGAGGGATACAATCAGTCACACTAATGCTTCATAATGGGTGTCTCGAGAAGGAAAGGGAAAAAAGAATGGGGCAGACATGATACTGGAAGAAACAGTAGCCCCTCAAACTTCTTAAATTCGATGAAAATCATTAATGTACACACCCAAGAAATCTAACAAATGCTGAGTAGGATAAACACAAGACATCCACACCTAGAGACGATAATTAACCTGTAGAAAGCTAGACAAAAAAAATCGTGAAATTGGGAAGAGAGATGATCATCATCTCATAAGCCTCAATAAGATTTAGAACTGAAGCTGTAAAAGTTGGAAGGTAATGGAACCACTCCTTAAAGATGCTGAAAGAACAATATCACCGAACAGCAATTCTACGTCCAGCAATACTGTACTTCAAAGACGAAAGAGATACTAATGCATTCCCAAAATATATTTATGAAAAACAATAAAATTTGTCACTAGCAAATCTTCTCTACAAGAAACGATGAAGAGAATAGTTCAGGCAGAAATAAAAGAACAAGTCCACATGAAGTAATAAAGAAAATCTGTGAAAGTAACTACATAAGTAAATATAAATCTCATATAAATATATTTTTATTTGTAACTCAATTTTCTCCTATTTTATTTAAAAGACAACTGCATAAAATGATAATATAAGGGGTAGGAATATTATGCATAAAAATGTAATTTGTATGACTAACAGAATGGACATGAAGATATATAGTACTAAAGTTTTTATATGCTATTAAAATTGGATTGTATTAATCCATACTAGATTGTTATAATTTTTTAATCATAATCCCCAGAGCAAGCACTAAGAAAATACAGTGATACTTTGCTTGTTAAATAGCTCTGAACTTAACGTTTCCACTACTGAAGCAGCAAAGTTTGAAAACAAAACCTGCTTGCTGTTTGTAACTTTGCTTAAAGGTCAAACCGAAAATCTTTTTGAAAAAACTTGTACAGGTCAATAGCGAGTCACATGTTCCGTCTCACATCATTGCCATGGACACAAAGGGATGACTCTAACCACCACTTTTTTTTTTTCTTCCATTACCTGGGTGTGAACTCAGGACCTTGAGCTTGCAAGGCAAGTGGGGTGCCACTGAGGCTAAACCCCCAGCCCTTCAAGTGCCACCCTTACTAAGATAGTACATAGTGTATTTGTAACTTATGGGCCTCAGAACAAATTATTTGGTTTTCCATTATTTCTTACAGGAAAATATGTTCAGTTTTTTAACTTATCAGAGTTTAAACATGAATTTGAAATGAATTGAGTTTGCCAACCAACTTATCACTGTAGTCAAAAAATGATTAAAAGGGCTGGGGATTTAGCTCAGCAGCAGCATGCCTGCCTTGAAAGTGCAAAGTGCAAAGTCCCGAGTTTGATACTCATATCAAAAAAAAAAAAAGAGAGAATTAAAATACTAAGAAAAATGTATCTCACATAATAAAAGTGAGCAATAATGAAGGAATAGATAAAAATTATGACATAAAGAAAACAGGTAACAACCCTTGGGATGAAGCCTGTACTTTTTACCAGAAGATGTGAAGGAAGAAAAGAAACAAATAGCAAAATGTCAAAGGTAAATCTCACCTTAACAGTAACTATATTAAATAGTACATTAAATGTGAATGGTATAAACTTTCTAAGACTAGATGGCAGAGGTTGGCAAAAAAAAGAACCAATTATATTCTGTCCATAAGAGATACATTTTAGATTCAAAGACAAAAGTAAGTTGAAAGGGAAAGGATGGGAAAAATATAACAAGTAAACAATAACTGAAATGGCACAATCGCTTTAGAAATTGTTCTAGCACTTACGTAAACTTTAATGTACAATTACCATTTGACCCAGCAATTCACTTTAAAAATTACCAAATGTATATATATATTCACACTTAGACTTATATAATAGTTCAAATTTATTAGGAAATGTCTCAAAGTGAAGACAATCCAAATGTTTGTCAGCTGGTGAACGGATACCAAAGTGTGGTGTGTCTACTGAATAACACTAAACTACGATAAAAAGGAAATTTCTGATATATACAATAACATGTATGAATTCTGAAAACATCATGCTGAGGAAATGAATTAGATGCAAAAGATATGTACTGTAAAATGCCACTTTAATGAAAATCCAAACAAATCAAGTCAATATAGTGACAGAAAGTGGATCAGTTGTATTCTTGGTGATTCATAGTGGAGCTACGTAGGAGAATTAACTGCAGAGTTGCATGAAAGAACTTTTTGTGTTGTTATTTATTTATTTATTTATTTAGGTTCTGATCAAACTCAGGACCTTGCACTTAAGAGGCAGGTGCCACACCACTTAGCTGAATCTCTGGCCCTTACTTGTGTTGTTATAAATGTTCTATATTTTCATTGTATAGTGGTTTATCAAA